GCAGGAGGGCAACAGTAAAGACTAGACAGTCAGAGGCAGTTGCTGAAACTAGAGGGCGGTTATAGAGGTGTTCAAGTACAGTGAGCTTACCGTTATCTTTTAGCATTGCTGAAACTTTTGTAATTAAAAAGTATTTTAAACATCTGCTGTGAGGGAAACTCATTTGCACAAACCCAGTCTTGATGGAGGTACATGGAATGGCATCTGTCAATCTGTGTGAGTTGCTAGTATAAATGATGATGATCCTGTATTTTCTTATGCCATTAGTCAAAATGAAGGTGGTGTTAAAGTTTCAGAAAGACTTTAGGTTTGAATTCTTTATTTTGCTTCATATAATGTCAAAGTTGACTCAAAAATGGGATGGGATAAAAAGGATATTGGCAAGGTAAAGACAAAGAGGGCTGTGTGGTTCTTGAGGAGGGAGGGGGAGTGAGGATCAGAGTGCCGTGTCTAATCAAATCACTCTATGGAGCTGCAGCCTCTCAGAGCTAACCTTGCCAATCACAGACAGCAGACGAGGAGGAGCAGGGGCATGCTGTGCACATTAAACCTTGCACGTGTCCTTGAACCCATGCTATAATCCCTTCCACGGCAGCCTGGGAAGGGTCTGTAATGCTCACCCTTAGAAGGAACCTTGAATTCCATTAGAAGCTCCACTGGAAGGAGAAGCCCTTGAGTGGCATCTTGAACCACACAGATAGCTCATACCCTTTCCTGAATTAGAAGTGAGCTCATGGGATTAAGTCTGCAAGTCTCAGAAAATTAAAACGTATGACCACACTGACAAATGCCATTACACCAGTAAGAAAACAAGATGTGTCCAGATCTGCATTTATTTTTAACCTTTTAAAGTTCTTTTTTTTTTTTTGGATGCCAAGTAGTTGAAACAAAGCTACAATAGAGGCTGGCTACAAAGCCTGCAAAAACCCTCTATAGCTGGTTGGGCTGAAATCAGATTAACACGATACATCTGTGTAATGTTTTGCTGTAAAACCATTCACTTGGATACCTGAGGACATGTCTTCATACGTAAACTTTAAACTAGACCAAGTGTAAAAGCAAACGTCTGCCTGTGCTCTCTACCCACTGCTCCAGAGTTCCACTCTGTTCTGTGCTACTGTGAGGATGCCTTATAGAAGACACAGTTTGAGTGCATTAAAATATATATGTTTAAGAAAGGACACTGATTCAGTGTGCAAGTGGAATGGTGGGATTAGTTTAGATGACTTAGGAAGAGAATGACTACTGTTCTCAAATGTAACAATGGTTGTCACACAAGAGGGGGATGTTTGGCTTGTCTTCTTTGAACCGAAAGAGTGTGTGTGTGTGTGTGTGTGTGTGTGTGTGTGTGTGTGTGAGTGTGTGTGTGTGTGTGTACGATACACTTAGATCCAGCATACAGAAAAAAATCTGTAACAGTTAGTTTCTAAACTGGCACAGGCTACTTTGCAAGTTAAAGAGAACTGTTCAAGGGCTAGTTGGGCTAAGTACCTTTGGGTGTTGAGCAGTGAAATGTCTGCAAATGTTGGATGTTGAACTGGACGACCAGCAGTGAAATAGAACCTGAAAACCAAGTATCTGAAAAGCAAGGCTGTTCTTTTTAAACAACAGGTTACTAACCCCTCCAATGCCACCAAGCAGAAAACATCTGAGGTCATCTGCATCAGAGAGGAGAAGGTGCATGATGGGAAACTAGAGCCCTCAGACCTGTCAACAGCAGGCAGCAGCCATGAGCTCCAGCTGACTAGCGTCATCTGAGCATGTGCCAGGAGTCTTTTAAAGAGAAGCAAAACCTGTACTTTTGTGAAATTAACTGGCAGTTAAAACCAAAAAACTGTGGCAACAGATCTGTCAAACAAAAGGACATCACCCATGAGACCATAAACTATGCCTCAAAAAATTCATATGCAAACTAGTAATTTTTAAAGATCCTACTTTAAACTCTTCAAATTTATCCATATCTTTTCTGGAATACAAACAGTCCAAAGCTTTATGCTTTGTATTAAAACAGTCTGATAACTGTACATATGTAGCAGTATTTTTTGTGGCTTTTACAGATTATCTTCCCGTTCTATATGGCATCAGTACTGTTACTTATTTTTTTGATCAGCACCACACACACTGTAGCCTCATTAATCATGAGTTGTTCACTACGATCACCAGACTTTCTGGTGATTATTCTGCACAATCCACCTCTATTCCAGAGTTCTTAAAAAGTCAGAAAATTATAGAATTAATAAAAGTCATAGGGTAGAATTAGACTTAAACACTATAAGATGGTATGATTTACATGAAGGTATGAAATCTCTAGGTCAAGAAGATTGATTTCTTGAGGGATAAAAAACCAATTCTTTTGTATTCAAGCTTACAAGAGTGTAAGACGTCAACAACTGGAGGTTTTAGCAATGGCAAGAGAGAATGTAGCCAGGGACTGTTAAGAAGGTACAATTTACTATATAAGGTCCTAACACTTTGACGGTGTCCTAGAATTCAGTTAAATGTAAAAATATCATGACATTGGGTGCTCTCTGAACTCAAAGTAATTTGAACTTGACTCACAGTAGACTGTGAGCCAGTTAATTCTCATACACAAACTGAGCAGAAGTGACTATTCAACATAATAGTGACGTACTAAGTAGGAGGGAGGCGGGTCTGTACGGTGCTCACATGTAAGGATTCACTGGGGGGGGGGGGGTGATCGGGACGGGCACCAAGACTCTACCTTCATAAGCTTAAAGAGCCCTTTCCAGGAAACCTTTAAAAAAAACTAAATCGTTTTGGAAGCTTAATCTGAAAACAGGTTATACTAGGTTCAGAAGCAAAGTTTGAGGTCACTGTGAAGATTTACAGCGCATTCTGAAAACACCAAGGTGGTAGGCATATCTCCCCCAACATTTGTGTGGGTCTTCAATAAAAGTACAGACGGAGGCCCCACATCACAAAAGGCTTCCCCTACATGAGAACAGCCATGGTTCATCCACTCCTGTAGTTCCCATTCATTTGTCCCTTGGCCACTCTGCAGGCCTAGAGGCACATCTTGCTGTGCAGATCTTGAGCTGTGCAGTTTGGATTGGTCTCTATGTAAGCCCAGTGCAAATCTGTCAGAAGATGCTATTAGAAAAGTACTTTTCTCTGATACCTCAGCTCTTCCTTCTGCTCTAGTAACAAACTAAGACCTCCTACCAGTTTAAGGAAATTCTTTGTACTTTCTTCAATTCATTTACAGTGCTAAAAATATTAAAATAAGAAACAGGTTTCTAAAAACGTTTGAAAAAAGGCAAGTCTCATGGAATGTATCAGTCCATTGTCAAAGACAATAAATTATTTAAAAATAGGCACCGCAACATGTATGTCTGAATAGCTGGGTATGTTGGTTGCAGGCCTTTATTCTCAGCATTGAGGAGGGAGACACAGGTGATTCTCTAGGAGTTCTAGGCCAGCCAAGGGTACACAATGAGACCCTGTCTTTAAAAAAAAAAGCACATCTGGCACTGAAAAGTTGGTTTCATGGGTAAAATGCTTATATGCTTGTTATGGAAATATGTGGGCTTGTGTGTAGATACCAGAACTCATGTAAAGCCAGACATAGTAGCATGTGTTTGAAATTTCAGTATCTGAAAATTCCTACATCCAAATGGGAGGCAGGGAGAGAGGAATTCCTGGAAGCTCACTGGCCAGCTAGCCTCATTTACTCAGCTGAGCACATGAGACCCTGTCTTAAAGAGGAAGGAGAGTACTGACACTCAGGTTGAGCAAGTCTTTACTCATACACAGAAATATGTACACACACACACACATGCATGTGCATGTACACATACATATGCACACACAGAGCTTTTAAAAAAGAGAGTAGGGCTAATTTATCTCTAAAACAAAGTCCTTAACATTTGCTGTTCAGGAATGGCTCTTATATTTGTTTGAACCACTACATTTAAATCGGTCTCTATAAAACTAATAAACATATTAACCAGATGTATGAAGGAAGTCATGAAGTATTACAATATCATAACATCAAGTATTTCTATTGAGATTTTTCCCTTTCTGGGACTGTAGACAAAGTTCAGTTGATAAAGCACCTTCCAGGCAAGCATGTGGATCCCTGAAGCTTGCTGGTTGGCTAGCCTCACCAACTTCAGGCTCAGTGAGAATGGTCTCAAAAAATGGAAGATACAGAGAGCAAACAAAGAAACACACCGATGTTGATACATTCTTCACATACAGGTATGTGTGCACACACCATGCACACATCATATCCCCATACATGGATACTTAAAAACAAATTATTTCCCTTTCCCTCAATTTCTAAAATGTATCATTCATTACTTCTTTGATGTACTATTAGTTCTACTCTAAAATTTTATTTTTTGTTTATATTGAACATACTAAGTGGCTAATATATGTCCACTAATATACTAGGCATTGAGAACAGGAAAAATATCAGTTCTTAATCTCAAAAATCAACCCAGAATCTAATGACAGACAAAATCATAAGACAGTGATAAATTTTGCCACCACAGATTTTAAAAAAGACTTTGTAGAAACAGCAAAAAGGAGGTCTTAGAGAGAATGGATTTAAAGCAGGACAGGGCAGAGGCGCCATATGCAAGGCACAGCATAATACTGCCCCAAAGTTGTATTTATAAAGTTCCATGACATGTCTGTAAATTTTCCAGAAAGCTCACGCTCCTCTTAACTCCTCTGACTTAAGACTTTTTCTATGCTTTCTTAAATTTAAGATATCAGACTTGGCCTATATTTGGCTTTTACAATCCCACTAAAAACTGTACTGTAGTTCTCCTAATTTGGCATAAAAGGAGTTATTGTTTCATTATTATTTTGCTGTGTGTGTAAACCTGTAAGACATATGTAGGTCTCAATGTAAATAAAGGGCAGTATCTGTCTTAACAGGAAATATGCGGGAAAGTGACCAGGAACCGTGCTGCCCTGCTCTTTGTTCTGCCTGAAGGCATCTTCTCATGAAGCCCTTCTTCTCTTTTTTTTTTTTTTAGCCAGCAAGGGCTCCTTTTATTCATTCAGGGGTGGGTTTTTGAAATGCAGTGCAACTTTATAAGTTTATAAGTCAAGAGTGCCAGTAAAGCAAGCCAGCTAGGTGCAGAATAATGCAAGAAGCTTGCTGGAACCTTTGAGTCCAATGGGCACCCTTGACACCAGCAGCTAAAGCTGCTGTCCAAAAGGTGTCAAACAGATATCAGATATAGGGGTGCCTACTCCATCCAAAGCTCAAATCTGTCCATCTGTGCTTGTCATATACAATAATGTGCAAAACAAAACCCTTGAAAATATATTCACACAGGATCACAGAGCAGGCTCTGCTTGCTGTGGCTATTGGCCTGAGAAGCATCAGAGCTGTGCATGAAAAGTCAGGCAGCTTCCATCTTTCCAAATGCCAGTGCATTGCCATCTGACTCTGGTCTGTCCACTACCTCAGAGACATGCCAGCCAGGCCTTCACACAGGAGTCTCCTCTGCCACCTTTTTTAAAAGTCCAGTAGCCAGCAAGGAGTGGTGGGGGTCCTCCGAGCCATCTGCTTCCCGAATCTTCAGGCGAACTTTCTGATTGGTCTTCCTCCATTCCGAGTACAGCTGGCAATGGTATCGAAAAGAGACCAGTGTCCAGAGCACATAGATGGTGAAGAGGGCAATGGTGAGGGCAATGAGCCCTACAGCCTCCAGCCGGCTATGCAGACGGAGGTGGTCCTGGGCCCCTCGCAGGCACAGCCAGCCTGAGATGGCGGCTAGTGGTGTGATGAACACAAAGCATACCATGTCACAGCACAGTGTCCGCTTCTCAGTGCGCGGCCCCGGGTCCTTTAGCCACTCTGTGAGAGGCCGGGGCCGCTTTTCCACTGCAAACTCCGTGTGACACAGCTCACAGTAGCTGGTGTTGGAGGAAGACAGCCATTTCTCCAGGCAGCTCTTGTGCACAGCTCCCAGTGTGCCAGTGCAGCCACATGGGGACAGCAGATTCTCCCCATTTGCTCCCTCATGGCAGATTCGGCAGAAGGGACAGTCACTTGGTGTATCCAAAGCCCGGATGACGGTTGAGAGCAGCCGGCCATCCCTTGAAGTCACTTGTGCTACATATTGAGGTGGCCCAAGCCCTGTGGCCTCTACAACCTTGGAAAAGGCAGGGCTGCTGGAGCAGTCACATAGGGAGCCAGGAAGGTGGCAACAGTCACCTGTCGTCATGGCCACAGGGAGCCTCCTGTCCTCAGGGCCTGAGGCCCATGGTCCCAGGAGCCTGTTCCGCGGCCGGGCCGGGCGGCCGCGCAGGCCCCTCGGTTCTCCCTGGCCCGGGTCCCGGCCCGGCCCGGCCCGGCCCGGCCCGTCAGCAGCGGCTTGCTCCGGCTTCCCCTTCTTCTCTTTATGTTAATGAACTGACTGAAACTGGAGCTCACTGGATGTCAGAAAATGCATTAGAATCCTGACTGTCAAGCTCTCTACACTCTATAAGGCCAGCTGCTGCTCTCAAGGGTTTATTCCCCCATAGTCGGAAGGTTGCTGAACCTCAGTGGCAACAATATTAATTCATGAGTGGGACATCAAAATGTTGTAATAATTAAATAATTGCAATAGTGACACTATGGGTAAAAGACATCAAGCTCTGGATAAGTTGAGAACTGCAAATTATAAACAAAATGAGACAGCATTAAAGCTCTTCTCATAACATTCATCAGTCTAGATTTCATTGTGTGTGCTCTCTAAGCTGTGACTCTAAAAAGTATTTTTTTTTAGGTTTTATTTACTTTTATTGTATGCACATGGATGTTTTGCCTGCATGTATGTCTGTGCCTCATATATGTGCAGTGCCTGTGGATGCCAGAAGAGTGTCAGAACTCCTGGATCTGGAGTTAGCTATCACAGTTAGCTGTGAGCCACCGTAGGGATGCTGGGAATTGATCCCAGGTCCACTGGAAGAGCAGTCAGTATTCTCAACTGCTGAGCCATCTCTCCAGCCTCTTTACCAGCTGTTATCTTTTATTATGAAAAATATATATATACAGTAAAGTAGAGACTCATTATTTAAATTCAATAGCTTTCCATGTTTATCTTTTTGTTTTTGTCTAATAAGGAAATTAGGCATTATTACCTTGTTTCTAAATATATCAGTATAGACCTAAAAACAAAAATATATTCCTATGTAACCACAATGTCATTATCATATCTAAAAGAGTTAATACCAACTCCTTCATATAAGCTAACACTGTCCTTTTCACTTTTACAATTGTATATAAACAAAGACAACATAGTTTAGTATGTTTCTGCTTAAAAACAATTCTATGCATTGTTTTGAATAGGGGCTAGAGGTATGGCTTGGTTAAGAGGATCCAAGTTTGTCTCCTCGCACCCATGTATGAAGGCTTACAACTGCCTACAACACCAGCTCCAGGGGTCTTGCCTCTGTGGGTACCTCCACACATACAGTGCACACATGCACACACCTTTTAAAACATTCATCAACTTTGACTATTTGGAAAAAGGAACAGAATGAGGGGTGGGAAATAAGGAAGGGAGATATGGAGGACAGGATATCTGGCATACAACAGGAAACTGTCATAATGAAATTCATTACTTTAAATAGTGAATACACACTGAAAAAGAAGATTAAACAACATTACATTCAGTATATTCTGTGGTCTTAACAGCAATGTGACAGAAACACTCTGCCATTTAAAGAATTGTATCTTTAGAAAATGTTCACTTGATAACAACAAGCCATATGGAGGAAGTTCAAGCAAACTGCTTCCCTAAGACTTCCCAGAGTTCTTGAGAGAATTCCTTCTTTCCAAGTGTCATGGGTATGGACTGAACATCTGCAAGAACCATGGCATGCTCAAGACTCTGCCCTTAACAGAACCAAGACCTCTGGCCAGTGTCAGATAATCTGTCACTATAAGCGACTTGTATCCAAGCCAGATATTTATTGCTATTGATCTGCCTGGTCCCAGCAAAAGACTTTTGTTCTCCCAGACCGGGACTTTGACCTCAATTAAGTTATGAATTTCAATCCGATAGACTGCTCCACTTACCCTACTGCTCTCTGACTGGATTAATTAGAATTAGCTAGGCCGGGAGTCACCCTACGCTCCTCATGGATCATGTTATTTTAATAATAAATAAAGGAATAGCGGCAGTGTACAAGAAGTATTTTGAAAGATTGCTCATCTAGGAACAACCTGCCAATATCAGTTTCTCTGACTCTGATTGCCTCATTTACTTTTTATTTCCTTTTGTTCACTGTAAACTCACCTTTTCTTCCAGTTCATAAACTGGTTCTTTGGGAAGAGAAACTGAAGAACTTGTCATGTTAACATTCTGAGCTACTTCAGGGTTTCACTAGACAGTAACTCACCAAACAATGATTAAATAAATAAACAAATGAGAAGAAGAAAAAATTCATAAGTGTGTCAAGAAAAGAGCAACATTCTCTCTCTCTCTCTCTCTCTCTCTCTCTCTCTCTCTCTCTCTCTCTCTCCATCATCTCAGAAAAAGACCAGCCACTAGCTAAATGCAGCTTTCCTATCTAGCTAGCAAGTACATGAAATGTAGACGTATCTACTACTAAGACAGCAATGTCCAAGCTTAAAAATAATAGAAATGTGCAAATCTATTTACTTTTAATTCTGGAGCCAGTGGGACAGGCCAATGGGAATTCTATATCATGCTTATTACAACAGTTAGAACAACATTGTATTGTTCTAACTTTATGACTTAGCCCCTATACATGAAAATTTACCTGAATATGTAAAGAATATTACATAAGAATGTTAATATTTTGGTACAGTTTTTTTTGGTATTTGGTACTTTGACCATTTTTTATAAGGTAAAGAGAATCTTAAAAACATATATACAATTAGTTGATAATTCTGATGTAGTAAAAATTCATTTACTTCTTTAATTCTCGAAATGCTGATTTTTTGATTGGCTCTAAAGAACATACAGAAAAGAATCAATCATGTTAAATGAAATAGTGATTTTTTTTAAAAAAATGAGCCATGTGTTTTCTGTGTATGTTTACATGTGAAGGCATCATGTGCATGCCTGGTGCCTATGGAGGGCAGAAGAGAGTTTATATCCCCCCAAACTGGAGTTACAGACAGTTGTGACCATTATGTGGGGTTTGGGAACTAAACCTGGGTCCTCTGCAAGAACAACAAGTATGCTTAACTGCTGAGCTACTTCTCTGGGCTCTTATTTATTTATTTATTTATTTATTTATTTATTTATCTATTTATTTATTAAATCCAGGTTTTACTACATAGCCCTGGTTGGTCTGAAACTCATGAGGTAGACCAGATTGGCCTAGAACTCGTTAGAGATCTACCTGTTTCTTTCTGCCTCCTGAGTGCTGGGAATAAGGCCATGAGCCACCGAGCTGGGGATTATTTTATTATTAAAATCACTAAAAATTAAAACATTAAACTCTGCCTCATCTTGATAAGGATTGCAAGCATAACTGGAAGGCACATCTTCAATATAAAACTGAAAATGATGCTATACTCAATCGATGCCTTATGAAACCTTTAAAAATGGAATTGTTCCCATCAAGTGACTGTGTGGAGTAGAAATTGTCATGCACAAAATGATGCCTGGAACAAGAAGTGAAAGAGCTATGCCTTTAGAAGTGGATTAAAAGGCCACCTGGTCTTCCTTTCCCGACCACTTCACTGGACACACCTATCTGGGATCTGCAGAGTACACGAAACTCTCATTTTAGAGAAGAGTTTTACATTTCCTCATTGAAGGGTGCTATGCTCAAATACTAATAAACATTTCTTTCTCAAAACATCTTGGCAATCTAAGAAGAAAGTAAAATTCATACGACTGACTGCTCAGGAAATATTAAGAGATGTCAACAAGAAATAATTTGCAGGGGAAAGCTGCTTCCACGGCGCCCTGCTTCCAGGAAAGACCAAGAGACCAAACATACAGAGTTTTGGCACTGAGCATCTGTGTTCACACCTGGATTTCACTAACTTGCAGTATTCTTAATGGAATAATAGCAAATCATAGTGTGTTAAAGTACATTAGCCCAGGCTTTCCCAATGACTCCTTAATGAGGGGAAATACGTGAGGGAGAATAGGAAAATTAAGCATAGTGGCATGACACCTTTACTTACATGTGAGTATTTTAAATATTGACAATGACTTAATGTAAAGAATATCAAACATGAGTCCTTTCTATCAACTACTATAAAACGTGTTTAGGACAAGGAATTCAAATCTTTTGACACTCCCCCAAGACTTCTATGCAAATGCTTAATCCCCCAAAGTCAGTAAAACCTTTGTTTCCACAAAGGTCGCACTTTCTCCCTGGAGAATCCAGTTACCCTTTCTTCTTCCCTCATTTCCTGCACACCAGTTCTTCTCAGACTGCCCTGCCTATGTGCTGCTCACTCCCCCAAGCATACCCTCGGGATCAAGAGTACAGTTAGCCTTGCCCAGGCATGCCAGTAGCAACAGGGGTCTATTTCTTTGACACCCTGAACTTATTTCTAATACTTAACATCACAAAATGGAATAAAATCAACATGAAAGTATAAATATCAGGATCTAAAATTCCCTGTTTGCAAAGCATAAACAGCAACAAAAATAGAACCTATGTGATGGAAATTCTAAAGACTCTTGAATATGTAAAAATAGATTATCAAATTGGAAGATGAAATTTTTCTTGGATAGAGTTCAGTACAACTTCAGTATATATAACACAAGCTATTTTATGGAGTAGAACGGTGATACCTAAGTTCATATTTTAAAAAGACAAGAACATCCAAGAAAATACTTAAAAGAGAAACTACGATAGAGAAATAACTGTCCCAGACAGAGAGTCAAGCCTGCTATAAAGACTTTTAATTAAGATAGTGTACATAAATATGAGACCAGGAGAGTTCCAAAATGTCCAGAACTAGATACGAATGCACATGGGAATACAGTAAATGAGTGTGGCAGCTTCTAGGCCGCACGCATGTTAATCAACAGTGCTGGTTAGACTACGTAGACATTTGTGGAAAGATATGAAAGTAAATCTGTCTCTCAAACTATACATCCAAAGATCTAAATATAGACCATGAAACCATACAAACACTAAAAGAGAACATGGATTCCCTTTAATGTTTCTGTAAGAAAAAGGTTGTTTGTCTAGTGCCTTTCTTGGAGATGTTCTCATTATGAAGAGCTGACTGCCCTAGGACTTGCTATGTAGATAAGACTGGCCTTGAACTCACAGCAGTCTGCTTGCTCTGTCTCCTAAGTGCTGGGATTAAA